GAAAACAAAAAAAAAACAACTGTGGCTTCCTCTCTGTCAGGATCAAGTTCATGCTTCTTGGCGTGTGTACTTGTGTGTGTGTCTCGCAAGCTCTGCCGAGTGGCCACTCACTCTGTCTTTTCCTTGCTCATGGGTTACATGCATAAAGAGACACAAATAAGTAGACTACCGGTAATGAGAATGAGGTGAGAATCATCATGCGTTACCTTCCGGTTCTCCTCTCCATCCACAGCTGATGCTCGACCACACTGGCAGCACCACACAGTATGAGGATGTATTTATTGACATAGACTTCAAAGCACTTCTGTAAGTCGCTCTGGATAAGGGTGTCTGCCAAATATGTAAAGGTAAATGTACCATTTGGATCCCTCCTTGGTATCTAGCATCACAACCTTTTAAATTTACGGTGGTCCTCAGGCCAGGGGGTGCAGATGGTGGTGGCAGACTTCCTCTCCTGCTTGTCTTGGAGGTCTCTAGCAGATGAAGGTGTGGTTTAGTGCCTGGATCTTCAATACTATCCACAAAGGGCTGGTGTGGTTGCAGGCTTTTGTTCCAACCAAGCAGAAGCCACACCTGATTCCACTTGTTTAATCAGTTCATCCTGGTCTCCAATCAACTATCAAGTGTGCCTCCTATTCGACTAGAGTGAAACTGCAGTCACACCAGCCCTTTGTGGATAAGATCAATGCCACATGGTTTATGTGTGCAGCAGGATGTTGTAAGTTTGAGGACAAGCCAAAAGGCTGATGGTTGATGCATATTTTATGTCCAATGCCCTATTTAATTTCTCTGACAATGTGTGGCCATGAGCTGAGCAAAGGTGAGGCTGAGCAGGATCAGAGTTACTGCCCATGCCAAGGGACACAAGCACTAAGTAGGTGTGGTGAAAGCAACCAATTACCACAGAAACAAGTTCAGAACTCTGAGACCTCTGGTGACAAGTGGTGGTATTGTGGTGAATGAATGTGACACCAGTTTGTGTCTGAATGTCCCAGATAGTCTTATCATACATAGGCACGATGGGCAGAAAGGCCTCTCACGTACACTCGCCAACATTTTTCTTCATGTTGTATTCACTTAGAAAGCATAAATGCCAGGGCATCAGTATTATTTTTTCACTCTCATTTATAAAGACAAATAGCATTATAATATCACTCACAATATAAGCTGTGATGCACTTTAACAACACACTTCTAATAATGTGGATTACTTGAATTAGTAATATTATTGTTTATTAATATTATTGTCTGCAATTCACAAGTATCCACATTTTAGAAATGGTAAAATATGCATTCATTATATACCACTATAATAAAATGCCATTATCTCTTAATAACCAAAAGTGACTACAATAGCCTTACTGTATACAAATTGACAGAAGAGTGGGGAGACTCCCTGATAATGACATCATCATTGGTATAATACTCACACTGGGCTCTCACAGTTATGTTCTGCTTAGGAGTGTGAGTCTCATCACCATGCGCGAGATTGTTCATCTTCAGATCGGACAGTGTGGTAATCAGATCAGTTCAAAGGTATGTGATAACAAACTTGTCATTTCAATTTCACCTACCTTTTCCCCCATGAGTAAGATATAATTGTTTAAAAGGTTTTAAAAGGTTAACATATTCAAATACACTACCAAAACAAAGATAAAAAAAAACCTTTTGGCCATTTTTGAAAACATGCAAATTTTTGAACTTTCATTTATTACGTTGAACAGTTAATTAAAACTGAATCTAGAGTTTGCAGTATTAATGAAAAGCTGAAGTAGGTATCTGATGTATGACATATAGTTTGTCTTTGTATGTCTGGTTAAACATACCAATCAACTGACTTTTTGACATAGGTGTAATTATATTTATTTTATATTATAAAATATGGTTAGTATAATGCCTCTGCAAAGTGGCAGGGTGTTCCCTTCATCCAAGCCTACTGGAAGATAAACATGAGGAAGAAGCTAGAAAGGCTGCGGTGCCTTTATCAAAGAGAAGTACGGAGTAGTTTATATGCTAGTTGACAGGAAATTAAATAGATAGCTTCATAATGAACAGTGAACATGGTTTTCCTTAGGGTAATGCCATGGATTACATCAGCGTTATGTTTTGGACAAAAAAAAAAAATGGTATTTTAGATAACCCAAAATTTACCAAAAGAATGATTAGCTACACAAGTTTGCAAATACCAGCATATTTAGTGTGCATTCATTATACATTACGTTTAATAAATTCTGTGCCTGAAGTTGATGTGTTTGTTTCAAGTCTTATATTTGGACACTATTTGTGTTTAAAGTTCTGGGAAGTTATCAGTGACGAACATGGTATCAATGCAGTGGGAAGCTATGAGGGGGACATGGACGTTCAGCTGGAGAGGGTCAGTGTCTACTTTAATGAAGCAAATGGTAAGAGATTTAAATTTAGAACAGTTTGTAATTAAATATTTGGATAAAGTGTCTATATCCTTGTTATTATTATTATTATTATTATTATTATTCCTGAGTGTCTATGAAACACATCTTGAGTGATTTTTATTCTGAAAATGCCATTTCTGCTTCTTGAACTTAGCTCGTTTTCTTGACACCCCCTCCCTCTAGACTTGAATATTCATAAAGCAATACCCCCAATGTCAATTTCAGTGTAATTTTCATAACCTGGGTAATCACCCCCTCAATTAAGAAGCATTTTGCACATCAATATAACTCAATAGATGTACATTATTCAAATTGATATAATATAGATTCTGATATAGGCAGGAGTACACTATTCATTTTTTTTACTCCAGTAGCCCAACTGCTTTACTGAGCTCCAAAATAAACCATATTTCTATACTGGCCTGAAAGTCACAAACAAAATATGCTTTAATTTATACAGCTGTCAATATATTTAAAGGACCACATTTTGACTAGCAGAAGCACTGCATCCCAGATTCATAGGAGATTGTAATAGTCTGCCCAGCAAATTTTTCTGGAATGTAACAATTCTAAGAATTAAAGTAAATCTTGTAAAATATTTTAGGTGGCTATTGTTGTTTTTCAGTGTTTACAGGGGCATAGTGATAGACTTCACACTTAATAAAGTGTTCCAAATCCATTTCAAATCCAAATACAGATACTTGGAGCACAAAACAGATACATAAAATCCCCTCTGAAGGTATTGGAACAGCAAGGCCAATTCTTTTGTTTTCGCTATACAATGAACTCATTTTGGTTTGCAATCAAAATATGAGATGATAGATCAGGATTTCAGCTTTAATTTCCTGATATTTACATCTAAATGTGCTAACAACTTAGAACATGGCACCTTTTGTTTGAACTTTTAAGTCATCAAAATTATTGGAACATGTGACTGACAGGTGTTTCTTGTTGTCCAGGTAATCCCCTGTTAGATTGATTGTTTAAACAAATAATAGCTCAATAAAGTGTCAATGATATCTGAAGAAATAACCAGCAATAAGACCAGAGAGCTGTCTATGAAGCTGAGAAAATAGGGAAAATCAATCTGAGCCATTACGCAAGCATTGGACATAGCCAATACAACAATTTGGAATGTCCTGAAAAAAAAACACTAGTTTACTAACAACCAGACATCGAACAGGTGGACCAAGGAAAATAACAGCAATTGATGACAGAAACATTGTGAGAGCTGTGAAGAAAAACCCAAAAACAACAATAAGTGACATAACCAACAATCTCCATAGTGCAGGGGTTAAGATATCACAATCAACCATTCGAAGAAGACTTAGAGAGCAGAAATATAGAGGCCATACCACAAGATGCAAACCACTCATCAGCAGTAAGAAGGCCAGACGGGAATTCATAAAGAAATACAGAGATGAGCTACAAAAGTTCTGGAACCAAGATTAACCTCTACCAAAGTGATGGAAAGGCTCATGATCCAAAACATACAAGCTCATCGTTCAAGCTTGGGCTTGCATGGCTACTTCAGGAACGGGCTCACTAATCTTTATTGATGATCTTACTCATGATGGTAGCAGCAGAATGCCAATTTACAGAGAAATTCATCCAATCTAATTGATTAGGAACTTCATCATGTGGCAAGACAATGACCCAAAACACACTGCAAACACAACAAAGGAATTCATCAGGGGGAAAAAAGTGGAAGTTTTAGATGGCCAAGTTGATCAGATCACCAGACTTTAACCCAATTGAGCAAGTATTTCACCTCCAGAAGAAGAGACTGAAGGGAAAAAAAACCCCTAAAACAACTAAAAGAAGCTGGAGTACAAGTCTGGAAAAGGCTTGGCTTGATGTAGTTATTGCAAGCATACTGTTGCTATACTTTTGCTCACCTAAAAATTGGGTGGTCTGCCACCAAAGGTGCTATGTTCTAAGCTGTTTAACACATCTTTATATAAATATCAGAAAATGACATCTGAAATTCTGATCTATCGTCTCAAATTCATCTTTTGATCTCAAACCCAAATGTCTTCCATTTATAGCAAAAACTGGCCTTGCCATTCCAATACTAAAGTGTTGGAATGGCAAAGTTAGAAATTTTGGCAGTAATTTTCCCTGTGCCATAACAGCTTGTTAAAGACTGTACCATTTTATTAAAAATCAAATGTTTTTGCAAGAAATGAGTAATTCAATGTTAAAACAACATAGTAATTACTCTAATTAAGATTGTACTCATGAATATTTCTTGTTGTGTGTTCTTAGGTGGGAAGTATGTCCCCCGGGCAGTGCTGGTGGATTTGGAACCAGGAACAATAGACAGTGTGAGGGGAAGTCACATCGGAGGACTCTTCAGACCTGACAACTTCATACATGGTGAGACCAAGTGTAAAAGCCCTTTATTTACAAAGAGATTTCTCAATGGCAGTAAAATCTAGTATGATACATTGTTTTACCTCAGCAGCCAGTATGACAAGTAGCTCAGGAATTGAGTCATAATGCAATAAATAACATATACAGAACTGAATATGCTATAAAGCTCCGAGTTTTTTTTTTTCTTTTTTACCTTATTATGTATATTTATTGGTCCCTGGAAGGCTAGTGGTTAGGCAACAGCGCTCTCACCCCTGTGGCCCGGGTTTGATTCCTGGCCAGGGAACCAGCCCCAGCCACTGGGGTTGCGTGCAATAGTGTGCGGATAAAAATTGCAGAGAGTCGCATCAGGAAGGCCACCCAATGTAAAAACTGTGCCAAATCAAATACACGGACCAATGATCTGCTGTGGCGACCCCTAACGGGAGGAGCCAAAAGAGGAACAACAACCTTATTATGTATATTTAGATACATAATACCTAAGGGTTACCATACAAGTATGTATTACAAAGTAGAGGCCTTGGTTTCTGTTTCTGTCGATGTAACTGATTTCCTCATTAATTGACAGGGAATTCTGGAGCTGGAAATAACTGGGCAAAAGGTCACTACACAGAGGGGGCAGAGTTGGTCGAGCAAGTAGTAGACCGTGTCCGTAATGAAGCTGAAAGTTGCGACTGCCTGCAGGGCTTCCAGTTTGTTCACTCTTTGGGTGGTGGTACCGGCTCAGGCATGGGCACCCTCCTCATCAACAAAATTCGTGAAGAGTTCCCAGACCGAATCATGAATAGCTTTAGTGTCATGCCCTCTCCTAAAGTCTCTGACACGGTAGTGGAGCCATATAATGCCACACTGTCCATTCACCAACTGATTGAGAGTACAGATGAGACATTCTGCATTGACAACGAAGCTCTTTATGATATCTGTTTCCGTACACTCAAGCTCACCACGCCAACATATGGAGATCTCAATCATCTTGTGTCTATGACTATGAGTGGGGTCACAACCTCTCTGCGCTTCCCTGGTCAGCTGAATGCTGACCTCCGCAAGCTGGCTGTCAATATGGTGCCCTTTCCCCGCCTTCACTTCTTTATGCCTGGCTTTGCTCCACTCATACCACGAGGAAGTCATCAATACCAGGCCCTCTCTGTTCCCGAACTCACCCAGCAAATGTTTGATGCCCGGAACATGATGACGGCATGTGACCCCCGGCATGGCCGCTACCTTACTGTTGCAGGAGTTTTTCGTGGTCGTATGTCCACTAAAGAGGTGGATGAACAAATGCTCGCTGTCCAGCAGAAGAACAGTAACTACTTTGTGGAATGGATCCCCCACAACGTTAAAGTGGCTGTTTGTGACATCCCACCACGCGGCCTTAAAATGGCATCTACCTTCATTGGAAACAACACAGCCATCCAAGAGATTTTCCGGCGAGTTGGGGAGCAGTTTGCCATGATGTTTCGCCGCAAGGCTTTTCTGCACTGGTACACGGGAGAGGGCATGGATGAGATGGAGTTCACAGAGGCTGAGAGCAACCTGAATGATCTAGTATCTGAGTACCAGCAATATCAGGATGCCACAGCTGAGTTGGAGTGGGGGCCAGAGGAAGAAATTACAGAGGTAGAGGGAAGTCCGGCAACAGTAATAAACACCAGCATCGACATAAAAACTGAGACCATGAGTGAAGCTTAGTCTAGTGAACAATTCTAGTGAAGAGGGCTGTGTTACCAAATGTGCTATATCTTGAATACTATTTAATATTGATACTACAATTTATTGATATAATAACATTGGTGTGACATTATTCATGTTCTTGTTTTCATTAAAAATATTAATTTCTACTTAATAATAACATAATTCTTTGTAAAGTTTGTTTAGTATATTTTGAGTCACGTTTGCAGTGTGTAATACAGTATGTTTTAAAACATGTACAACCAACATGCATCATTCGACACTCTTTTGAAATAATGTTCCAAAATTGAGTAGATATAGTGTATAAATACAATAAATATTACATATATTGTTCATTTAACAGAAATGCTCCATCAATGCTTGTGTGTAAAACCTGAAATTGTGAAAGAAAGATGTTAAGCACAATAATTATTTTTGCAGTGATACTTTGAAATATCTAAAAGTGTTAAGTGACTTTTTTCTTCCTTTCTACCTTTTACTCTTTTGTTAAATCATACATATTTTCCATTTTGAATAGAAAAAATATCTTAAAATACTAAACCTGCTAATACCCCCATGAAAGTCTGAAAGGCAACCCTAGTCTTCCAAACAGGCGGTCTGGCAGGACATGATTAAACTCAAGCAGCTCTGTAGATATTGATAAGCAGCTCAGAAAAAGCTCCATTAACCACAGATGACAGTGAAAGCAGCTATAAGTGATATTGGCAACTTTCTAACTTCCTCTAGACTTAGCCAGTGAAAAAGATCACACCCTCCCTTCAGCCCCATTCCAAAGACATGTACATGCTCGGAGCATGACATAATGATGTAGCGCTGTAATGCAGAAAGTGCTGGTGCATGCGGGATTTTGCCACACTTGGATTCTAAGATAGAAAATTTATTACACTGACTGAATTTGTATAATTAGGCAGGTGTGCAACTTGGTTGTGTCAAAAGTCTGCATCCACCCCATAA